TGTAACAGTTAACATATACATATGTTTATGCATAATTTCAGCCTGACACCAACAAATATGTCACTTTTAACACTCATTTTGTCAAGAACGTCTATTCTGTTTTCCACATTTTCCATAGAAATGCAGAAAATAACTGTTTAAAGACCTATACGTAGAGAAAGAGTAGTTCTCTCTCTATGGGCTGCAGGAACAAAATGGCTGCTTTCTTTTACTGCAGCCTTGGTTTGGGAGTTTTGATATTTTTTTCTTGAAATACCATGTTGGCAGAACTTTCTTTTGTATATTAAAAAGTTGTTTGCGCAGTAGCTGAAAGGTTCCTACGAGAAACGCATAATAGCCAAGTTTTTGCAAAGTATGAAATATATTCTTCCTACCTTGAGTAAAGCAAAAATATTTCTCATGTGGGGTACATACAGATATTTAACCTATAAAATATATATTTTGTAATAAATACATGACCACAAAAGGCTAAAAACATAAGAGAAAACCAGTAGGTTTTTTTCAAAATATTCAAACTGTTCTATTTTTAGAAATTAGGATTTTCTTATAATTATTTCTTGCATTAAGCTGCTGTCACTTACTGGCGATTGGGTCTGATTAAGCTGCTGAGGGTTCAACACAAGGCTGGCTATCTGGGAAATCTATATGGTCGGCCGTCTCACTGGCTGACACGATACAATAGATGCAGATCCTATCTGTAACGCAACACCGGACCTTCTGAGAATGAACATACATTTCATGAGGAAGGAGTTTAAGCTGAGGGATTCAACCAGGTTGGTAATTTGCCGTGGAAATGTTTTGGAGGACATATTGAACTGGTATAACTTGTGTTATTGGTCAGTTTGCCGTCGTTCTCCTCTAGTCTGTTCTCCCACAAACCCCACCTGGACCCGTTCGGTTATCTACTTCAGCTGCACTGAATAGTTTGCAAGAAACCCTTTTACCAGCTGCAGAGGAGAAAGTCAAGAAAAGCAGCATGTCTCTGTGTCGGTCTTACCTGAGTGCTGATGGAGGGCCTCCTTTGTCTTTAAAGAGCAGCAGGGGACAGAGCCAAGGCAGAGATGGATGGGGAGAGAGTCTGCCAGTGGCTTAAATATCACCTGCTCCTCGCCTCCCTCCCTCCTCCTCCTCCTCCCGCTCCCCTAAACTTTATCACCCCCTTTGGACCTGAAGGTGTCCCTCCTCACTTCTCCCGTTCCACTCACTTAAAAAAGATGGCAGAATATCCCTTGAACAACCATTTGTGTTATCTATTGGGATCTTCTGCGATAAAACAACACAAAGTGTGGCATAATTGTGAAGTGGAAAGACAAGAAACAAAAGTTTTTCAAAAATATTTTATGTATAAAATTCTGCAAAATAAATTTTTTATTCACCCCCGTTTTCTCTGATGCCCCCTAATTCAAACTCAGTCCGAATTGGGTGGAGAAAATCTCTGGTCATATATTTTTTAATTCTCAATTGGACATTCAGACACTGCAGGATTATAATAGTTTGGGATCTTTTTTTGTTATAGTTTAGTTGTATTTTATTTGACTTTTTGTTTGTCTAATTAAGTTAGTTTTCATTAGTTTTTAGAGCGTGCTAGTTATTTTTTATTAGTCATTACTAGTTAAATATTGTTTAGTTTTAGTTGCTTTTTATTAGTTACATTAGTTTTAGTTTTTCATATTTTGGTTAATTTTTAAAAGGTCAAAGTGTTGCATTGTCGACTTTGTAGACAAACATCTCTTGCGTTGACAGATTCTCCCACCAGGAGGCCCTATGACCCTCTTGGCTGGATCTATTATTCATTTTCTTCTTGAAAGACTTTAATTTTAGGTGTATTTCTTGTTTTATAACCCAACCCTCCTTCAAACTTCAACACAACATCATGTCTGACTTGTTAGTGTGATTCTTGGTCTTCATGTTCCTGTTTGTCCACTGATATTCTCAAACAAACCGCTCAGACCTTCACGAAGCAGCTGGATTCATAATGAGATTAAATATCATGCAGGCAGAGTCTGTTTACGAATTAGACGACTTCAGAATGCAGCTGGTTGCAAAAGGTCATCAGAGCAAACGGAGCTGAATGCAAATTCACGCCACTTGTTTCATATTTATGTTAGAGTTTGAAAACCAGGGAACTTTTATGTTTAACTTCTTGGGTAAGCATTACTTTGTGTTGGTCTATTAAATTAAATCGCACTAGAATACTGACGTTAGTGTTTGTAGTTAAAGTGGGAATGAAACACGCCACACATTGATGTTACGGTCACAGTTTTATTCTATTTTAGCCAGTATGTAGATTATAAGCACAAAAATAAAAAAAAAATTAAAAATGATACAGCGTTACATATGAAATAAGAGCAAAGTAAAGCTCACTGGGCACGACAGTGGACTGATGCGAGTCCTTCTGCCAAACACACACACGCGCGCACACACACACACACACACCTAGGACATAAACAGAGTAAGGCCTGCACGGCTTCCTGGGAAACATCCCACTATCCCAAACATTTTGACCCCAGAAGCCATAAAGACACATTTGTATATTTATATACACTTGTTGTTCCAGTTCGGGGATTAATAACTTTTGTCTTCATCTGCTGTCTCTGAGAATGAATGAGATTTATTGTGTGGCGATGCAAACACTCCCTGCTGCGCTCCAGGTCCAGTATGTTTCTATAACCATTTAAAAGCTGGGTGGACTTTTGCTACGGGACACAAAAATAAAACAGCTTTATAAATAGCTAAAAGGATGATGGCTTCAAATGAACAATATTGATTATAAATCATCTCCCAGAAGATGTTGAGTCTAAGTGTGCTCACATTAGGCAGTGGTTGTGCATTTTGGTAAACCACCTTATGTACCTTAACCAAGCTTCACAGGCCCATATGAGGTGGTGCAGGAGTCGGATCAGTCCCAAAAAGTACCAACATGCATTAAAAAAAAGGGAAGACATTTCAATAAAGATGTTATAATAAAACCACCAAAAAAGTTCAGGAAGTTTGTTAGAGGCAGCAGGAAGCAGTGTGCACTGCGAGCGCAAAAGTTGCACCGAGTTGGCGTAAATGAGAGTATTTACAATGGGAGTGCCTCAGTGAGGCAAGGTGATCACATGATCTGTGCTTATTTATCTTTCTCATTTTCACTGGGCACTTGAATGAAGTGCTGCCTGCTCTGATAGGGAACAATGCGTAGTTTTAGTCATGTGTGGAGGAGCAGCAAGCTGCGGAAACGCAACAACTGAACAGAATTTGGTACTTTGGCAAGTAATCGCTGCAGTGGTTAAATGACGAGTTAGCAATAAATTTTGGAGTAAAGACGAAAGAAAAACTTGAATAGCAGTGGAAATAATTGTGAAATGGCTTATAAGACAAAAGGTAATATGATACACTCAGTGTTGTTCCTTGATTTAAAGAGGCACAACCGCCGGCAGGCAGGATGAGAAACACCATATCCAGGATTACTGTCATGCAATTGTTTGCGTCTTTGGGCGTGTTACTCATGAAATCCCTAATCCAGTAATTTCCCAATGCCTAATGCCCTTAGGATCCAGTTGCAGGTCAAACAGGGTGTTCAAAAGGTACAAGGGTGTGACCGACAAAACACAAGAACAAGCAGCTGGAGTTCGAACCAACAACACAGTTTAGAAAATCAAGGTCAGGCTGTAGCATTGCTAAGTGTTTGAAGAAGCAGGTCACTGTTAACCTGCGGTGGCTTCAAAACGAGATACCTAAGATTTCCAATAAGATGAGCTTTGGTGGTTTGTTGCAGTCGTTTTTCTTTCCACACATAAAAGTTGCACAAAAACCTTTTCTGACCTGGCCTGCTAGTGCCTGGCCCACTCCCACAGGACTATTCTGGGCTCCCTTTTTGACCTTATTGGTCCTTTAGGTGTAGATTCCCTCTCAGTGACTTAATTATTTAACCGAAGGTCACACCCAACGCTCCAGTTCCCAGTTAATGTCTGAGTCTGAGTTAAGGGAACACACTGAAGGCAACAGACAAAGAAAAAGTGAAAAAAGGAAATTTGGCAATGAGAAAACAATTAAGATAAGCAAGCAGAACTTTAACAAATTAGTTTGTTTATTGTGTTGTTAAATTAGCCACATTGCTAGTTTAGAGAAAAATACAAAAAAAGTTATTTAAGTGCATCCAATAAAGGAATATTTGGACATGTTTACTGGGACAAACTGGACAAAAGCAAAACAAAAAGTCAATATCAGGGGAAAATGAAACTAAGCTTTATGTGCTACTACGTTTAAAGTCAAAACTGAGATAACCAACTTAGCTGCAACTTAGTAAAAAAAATAAGTGGAATTTGTGTACAACTCGTATAATGGGATTTAAAGCACCAGAACAGAATACAGATGATTATCTACACACTGTAATATTGCAGATATGCTGGATTTTAAGCCAGGTTTGGTGAGAAGGATGTGAATTTTCAGACAAGAATGTCAACATCAAGAGTTTTTCAAGTCCTGTTTAAATTGAAACACCAAAATGCCTATTTCAAAGTACAAATGCTGCAACACACCCTGCTAACTAACAGAGGACTGAAGCAATGGCTGTCTCAACATTCGTATTAATCTGATAGGCTAACAATTAAAATTTAGGTTGTATGTTTGTTTGTCTATTAACTAAATAGGGATATTCCTGTTGATTTGTGATTTTTTTAATTCAAAACTTTCACCTTCCAAGTAAAATTAAATGTGTCATTAGCCCATGCTAGCAGTGGAAAGTAGCTATTTTGTATCTGTCTATCTACTTACTGCTAAGCTAACTTTAAAATCTTATTTGTATCTTTCAATTTAGTGTCAAGCTGCTGAATATTAAAAAAACATATTTAACTGCACCAAATACAGAAATATTTTCAAGTTGAATAACAACAATAATATGCTATCAGGGTACAAAACAAGCTAAGCTAGCAACAGCTATCCTTACTGCTAGCTTCAGAGGCTAATTTAAAATTATGTCTGTGTGGAATAAAAACAAGAGCTCATAATGTAATCAGTAAGATTTACCGGTGCATGTTAATTTTATTATCATTATTATTATTATTTTTAATGTTAAATTTGATCAGAATCAAGCATTTGATAAGTTAATTTGACGTAAATTTTGGTTAGCAAGTTCCCAAAATGTCCCGTTATTCCTTTAAGTCACACGTGCCTGGCAAAGTGATTAATGCCAAACTTTTACAAAAGAACCGTTTCGCTCTACTGTTAGTGGAAAAGTGGCAGAAAGTGAAAGAGAATGCATGGGTGGATGGAAGGCCTGTTGATTGTAGTGGTAAATTAAGCTATTTCAGTCAAGTGTGCAGGAAAATCATAGTTTCTAGGGAAGCTTTCACATAGATACTGCATGCACATGAAAGTGGACAACTGCATGCTGTCATAGTACACCATCATAATGAGGTAAATGTGCTATATAGTGGGATGCACATCCTGTACATATAAACATAGTGGTAGAAGTAGTACAACGCTACTGTCATGTACATAATCATATATATGGAATAGTGTTTCTGTTGTGTTTAAACTGTTGTATTTTAATGTATATAAAAATAGTGGCTTTCCACATTATTTTGGAATTAATGTTACATTTCTCTGCAGGGTTGATTTCTGTAGTGTGATTTTGGTGACGGAGTGGATTGTCCCCTATGAAGACGCCTCTTCTGTCTTCGCCGCTACGTTCTCCTCAGCAGCAGCAGGCGACTTCTCTGTTGGCTCCTCTGCTTTTGGTGTTTCCTCAGCTTTTTCTGGGTCTTTCTCTGTAGCTTTTACCTCTGCCGACGCTGCTGCTTCCACCGTAGCTGCCTCTGGCTTGGTTTCCCCTTCCACCTTTGGTTCTACCTTTACCTCGGCGTTTGCGTCCGCTTTTGCTTCTACCGTTGCCTCAGCAGTCGGGTCTGCCTTTGTTTCGTCGTTTTCTTTTGGTTTTGGTTCCTCCTTTGGCTCTGCGTTCTCTTTTGGTTGCTCTGCTGCGCCACCAGGGGAGCTTTGCACTGGTTGGGATGCATTATTTTCTGCAGGTTCCTCTTTGTTGAGGACACGCTGCTCACTAAGTGAGCAGGCCAGGTAGCCTATTAGCTTCATGTATTCCTCAAAGCCAACCTTTCCGTCAGCGTCAGAGTCTAGTCCCTGGGCCATATTGTTGACCGCTTCCTTGCTGTCTGCACCCTACAAGTTGGACATACACAACCACAAGTCAGTCAACAATGATAGTGAGCAAAAGAAGCCAGTCATAACATAGGCTACCTTCACACAGTAGGTAAATGCAACTCAAGTTCACTTTTGTGCCGGTTTTTCAACCTTTAACTGGCTTTTTCACAGCAGTCTGAACGACCCAATTGCGATCTTTTCACCTCCTGAGAAATCCAATTTGTGCCACTTCTGTGTTTGGTGCTAATTCGGATACATATCTGGCTGTTTTTAAAGCATTTGTCTGAATGGTCATGCTGCATTTTATCCAGCTTTTACGTGATTGATGTGAAACATGCGTCATTCAACACCAGAAAAAGCCAGACATGGTGAATCTGGGCGTAAACGACTGAGAATTAGGATTATAAACTTATGAATGACTTTTGTGTCTCTGAAGTGCATCACATCACAATCCCACCACTTCACATGCAAACAAACTTCCCTACAGAAGTTGCAGTCAGTGGTCCACAAAAGGTTTTACTTTCTTTCTATCATCCTGCTTTGTGTTGTTAATCTTGTGTCGATAATGATGGCTCGTTGCTGAATAAACTTTGAAATTGATCCATAAACGGATCCATCCATGCCGTGTGACGTCAGCAGCCTTCGTCTGCGCATGCAGGCCACTTTGGGGTTGTAAACCGTTCACACAAAGCCTCATTGCAGTCAGGTTTAATTAGCAGTACGAACAACCACGCAAGAAAAAAAAAAACAAAACAAAAAAAACCAGAATCCAACTTCAAGACCTCCTGTGTGAACGTAGCCTTAGTTATTTTTGGACATTTTCTGAGACTCGTCCACTTCTTTCACACAATAATTTGACTAATTATTCACAAATACAAGTTAGAACTGGTCAGTCTCACAAAAACTAGCGTTATGAATCGGTTACATAAACTGTTCAAAGAAGTTCGCTCTGACCGAAAGGATGTTGCCGAGCTGGGATGAGACCAGGTTTTGAAAATCTTTCTTTCCTATATTCTCTTTTCCTTTGGATGACTTCAGGAAGGTTTTCACCACGGCCTGGATGGCACCCTCCATGACTCCCCTGTCTGGGATACAGGAAGACACATTCATTAGAGAAACAGATCAGATTAATATCTATCCATCTTTCAGTCCATTTGTCTATAACTTTTGATCTGAAACTTTTTAAACACAAAACACAGCTAAAACACAAACGGTAAAACCAGGGATAAGTGCTGGTGCGACTCATGTGGTGCTCTACCAATTAAATTTGGATGTGCGATTGACCAAAACAAACAACTTCCAGTTCAAAAGTTTGAAAACCAGTAGGATTGACCAGTGACCACACTAACGACTAACAATAAGAGCTTATTTTTCTCTGCATTTTTAACTAAATGTGAAACATTTAATGAGACAATCATCAGAAGTGCAAATAAACTGTTTATATGCAAGGCGGCCATGTTGTATTTTGAGGATGCGGTTAAGAAAACCAAACAACAAAAACAAAACCTCAAACTTAGAATTTCGACTTAGGGCAATTTATTTATTTACATTTGTCTACCTTAAATTTTTCAACTTTAAGTTATAATTTGAGCACAAGCATTGCAATGCAAATGGATAAAAAACATTTTCTCTTATTTCGTGACAAAAAACTTGCTGTAGAACTTTCTGTTTTAAAATATCTGTCAAAATACCTTGAAGACCAATGAGACACTTTTCTGAAATCGTTTGGGAACCACTTATCTAGATAAATATTGAGTTTTAAGTCATATTTTTTCAGACGGGTGCATGTTCTGAGAAAACTGAAACCAAGGATCCCTGCAAAGTTTTCGTTTCAGTTGTCAGACTCCTGATCTGCGGTTGGGGACGAACAGTGACGTGAGGTAGGTGGAAAAGGTGAGAGGGAGTCTGATTGAGAGACGAGCTGCGATGGACAATGGCGGCTCTGATCTTTGATAGGTCATCTGATCTTTCTAAACTACCAGGCAAGCTTGGATTACCAGAGGGATTACCTAGTCCTTGTCTGCCCTTCTGTCTCCCTCCCTCTCCGTCTTCCTGTCCGTCCCTCATCATACTCCAAGCCTTCCTCCGATGCACACATAATCTTCACGTGTTGCACAGACTGAAACTAGCCAGTAAGGGCGACGCGTTTGCAGGCATTCCTCTCATTGCTCTCTGCGGAGATCACTTAGACAGGAATTTACAGGCTATACCTCCGAGCTCGCTTTGCCCTGAAGCGCAGAGACGATGTTCGTTGAAGCCAAACACGCTCGGCAGTCAGTTTCGGTATTCAAATGCTGCAGAGCAAATAAACAGTGTGAGGAGAGACTGTTGACTCTTTGTTTTAACAAGGATGCAGCAGAGCTTGCGGCAGCATATTGACATCTACGTTACTGGTGTGCATGTCAGGCTGAAAGACAAGCAGTTTCCAAAGCGCACATTAAATATTACCAGTTAGTGACGTTACGCCGATAGAGTGACAGGGACCTATGAGCTGTTGAATCTAACATTTCACTTCTCTCTTTTAGGTATATTTTTTAAATGTTTAACGCCAGCTCATTAACCAGCAGCCACCATTTGGAGTCTCCAGTGTGACCCATCAATTACACGGTTCACTAGTGAGCCAACACCAGTGCTTGCCTCTGTAATTTTTTAATTAATGTAATGTAATAAATTGCCAGGTTTGGTCTGGCAGTAGAGTTTGGAGTAAAGAAGTGCTTCAGTTTTGAGGCGGTAGAGCTAAAGGGAGGACTCGATTTCAATGGAAATTTGTCTTTTATCGGTAGTTTCTTTGCAGCTGCATTTTACATCTGTCAATATGGATGTGTGAAATATCACAATCACAACAAACTACTTGGATTCAAGTTGTTGGTATTGAAACCAAAAGTAGTAACACAGTTTCAGGGTTTTTTATTTGTTATATGTGTAGCTTGAAATTTTGACAGGATTTTTTTTTTTTTTTTTTTAAAGAATAACCGTTCTGATTCTTTGTTGAACTTCTTTTGTAAGCAACCAAATATTTTCAAAAGTTGACTGATGTGAGTTTGGTCATTTCTTTTTTTTAATTGCCAAAATCACAATGTTCCCACCTAACTTTAGGATCTTGATCACTAACAACAGTGTCAGGTCTGTGCATGAAATACAGAGAAAGTAATTCTGACTGCAAAAAGAAAAGTTTAAAAGTGCAGTGTGTAACTTTTATAACAAATATGTTATTTTTTTGCAAATTTGTTAAAACTGCCACCATGTTGTGATAGTTTCTTATGAGACAGATAATCTGTGAAAAGATCAAGCTCCTCCACTTCCTTACCTAGCTGGTATTGCTGTCTGAAGGAAAGCAACCAATCAGAGCCAGAGGGAGGGCCTTAGCGCTGTGAATCAATCTCATGTACTCACTGTTAAATGTGTAAGAGGTGGGGAAACAACTTATCCTTACAGGAAAACTGTTTATCTGCCGTTATTGGTGGCCATGCTAACTAGCTTTAGCATTCATGACAGGCTGAAGCAAGAGGGTGGAGTGAGCAGCGCTGCAGGGAGGGGTGATTGACAGCCCTAAGATTCTCCTCCTGGCTCGGCTGGTTGTTTCTATCAAAACTGGGAGAACGCAGAGAAACTGGATTTTTTTTTTCACAGATTATCTGCCTCATACCAGATATAATAGAAGACAGTTTCAACAAATATGTAAAAAAATACATCATTTTTTTTCTAAACGTAACATACTGTTGCTTTAACCAGGTTTATAATATTATTTACAAAAAAACAACAACTACAGACTTGAGGCAGGGCTGCACTGTACTAACAAACTTTGAAGCTGTAATATTTGTAAAGTATTGAAATATTGGTCATGATTAACTCTCTTGTGCCAGTCTTTTCAATCATCAAGGTGCCTCTGAAACTTCCTAAACTCTACATAAGTTTTAGTGTGAGGGCTGACAGAGGGAGAATATGGTTAATGAAATACGTCAAATATATCACTAAATATCATATCCAAGCTGCCTACAGTTACAGCATCCAAGAAAGCTTTTGCCTTAGGCCGACTTTGCAAATTGGACACAGAAAAAAAAAAAAGACCAAGAGCTCAAGAGTATACATAAGTGCTGCGTAACCACTCCTAGTTGTCAAAGTAATCCAAACACTTAAAGTGATCCTGAGCTCAGCTGGGACTTTAGGGGACTTCTTCCTGTGCCTGACACGCCCTTCCAGCCCTCAGTACACAGGGGCCTCGTATCCACACACACATCTTCCACCCTTCTCCCGACACTGCCGGGTACTTTCTATGAACAAGTATAGATAAACATATTCCCCACATTCAGGAAAAAATAGCATCCAATTCAATTTAATCAATGTCATTTATCTACTCCTTCAAAAAAAAGAACAAAAAAAAAAGAGCAAAACACAACAGCGCAAATAATTAAACGCAAAGTCCTACAACCGAGAGTTTCGCGTTTCGCCGCAGAGACCCTACGGGGGATTGGGTGTTGCGTTTCAAAAAGAAGAAGAAGAAAAACAACAACGGGTGAACGTGATACGGTCCGTGCGCAGAGTAATGACAATACTACCGCTGGTGTGGCATGAAATATTAACAGAGGAACAAGTCGGGCTGTGGCTATAAACAGCGGGAAGAGTCACCGTCTCCCACCCAAGTAAAATCCACGCATCCAGACCCGTGGGTGTGCGCAAGGACTCATGATTAACGGATTGGTTTAAAAACTAACAAAAAATAATAATAGAGAGAAAACCAGATACAAAATGTTGCTCTCGGCTTCCTGCTCAATAAAAGCAGGACGTAAAAGTTGCGCCCTTTACTCGAACACCTGGTGGGTAGGTTAGGTTCAGATCACCTGGATTTTAGATCAACTGTTTGCAGCTGATCACTCAGTTCAAGTCTATATTAAAACATCTTCACGTTAATCTGATATGGATGTGAGCGCAACGAGAAGTAAAAAAAAAAAAAAAAGTTAGCAAATATAAATTAAATAGTTAGATTTTTCCTTCTACAACTTTGTAGGAAAGTTGCGCTTTGTAGGACAGCAGCCAGTGAACGGTTCCTGCAGTCAGACAGGAGCAGGGAGCCTCTTGCGGGAGTTTATCGAAACGTGGCAACAGGAGAGAAAAAAAAGAAAAAGTAAAGAAAAAAAAAACGCCGCTTCCATGCAGGAAACACTTACAGTAAACCAAAAGAAAAACATCCAAACTCACCGTTTTACCGTCTGCGGGAGAAGAGAACTGTGTAAAATGTGCGCCAAAAGTGACTTTCGGAGCTCTCCTCCGCCTTTTTTCTGCGCTGCTTTGAGCCCTGTGGACTTGCCAAACTAGTAGGACTGCAGAATCTCTTCCGTGATTTGGGCTCGCTTCCCCCCACCCTCCCTCCTGTCCTTAAAAGTTTTCCCCCCTCACAAGTCAAAGGGCGTGTACCTGGGAGAGTGGGAAGGGAGAGCAGAGGAGTGGAAGACAGCGACCCTGGCAAGCAGGGAAGGAGATGGAAATACAAGCAGAGAAAATATACACTGACTGAAAGTTGTTTTTTTTTTTTTCTTATTATTTCATTATTTGGACGTTTCAGGTTGTTGTTCTGCTGATAAGCCAGCTGTTTGGCGTCAGGCGTGATTTCCTCATTTGGCGGGTGGAAGCGGCTTCATCTGCTGGGACAGAGAGGCAGGGCGGGTGGGGTGACTTCATGTTCATTCTTGTTAAATTAACTTTAAAACACAAATTATCAGGCCACAACACGAAGCTTTACTTGTTTTTAGTTATGAGAATACATTTCAAAACGTACGAAAAGATAAACTACATTAAAACAGAACTGAAATGCAGATTTTGATCTGAGTGAAGGCATTTTTTTTCTTTCATATTTGCTGGTTTAAGAAATAAAATAAATTTTTATCACATCAGATCAACAAACATTAATGTGATTTATTAGGATTTTATGATAAACAGAAAGAAGCGCCACTGCCAAAGGAGAATGATACACAACGTTAAATCGAACTTAGAAATAATGATCTGCTTTAAACTTCAAAACCCTTTTAACTCTGGTACCCCTAAATAAAATTCAGCACACCCAAATGCCTTCATGTAGGCCATGTAATTAAGAGATCTCACCTGTTTGTAGTTTAATCTGAATATAAATCCAGCTTTTCTTTCAGATATTTAAGTAACATTAGTGAACAAATAGCTTTATGAAAATATACTTCAGGTAGTTTTATGCAGGGTTAGATTAGAAAACAGTACGCCAAACTGACTAATAATGTTTCTGGCTATATTATCACATATAAAGGTAACACAAAAGGTTTTTAATATATATTTGCAAAGAATGTACAAAATGGAAAATTATTCATGTTGGAACAAGGAATGTTGTTTTTTGTAATCCAACTTCTGTTGTTTTCTGGCCTTAAATGATAATATGTATTAAATTAAATATTTCTAGTCCCACAGTGGGTAAATGGAGATGCACCAGCAGCAAGTTATATTTTTCAGCAGGAACAATAAAGCTTGTCAGAGTTGATGGAAAGATAGAGCTAAATACAGGCGTGACCAAGAATACTAAACACACAGTCAGATATACATTAGATCAAAGCATCAAAGCATATTCATGTGTCAGAATGGCCTAGTAAAAGTCCAGACCTAAATTTGAGAATCAATAAGTCTTGCAGATGTACTTGGAGCAAAACAAGGAAGCACTGGTTCAGTGAATACAGCTGCAATATAATACTTTTATTCATAAAAACCTCAAGAACCATGCATGCTCTGACTTTCTCTACAGAATAACCTGCTGCTTTGTGTTGGTCCATCATAAAAGCAACCCCCCACCTTAAACCATAAACACCTTAAAGTTTATGGTTGTAACGTGAAAAATTGTGGAAAAGTTCAAGGGTCATGAACATTTTGAAAGAACGGCTGGATTTCAAACAGGTGCTTTGAATATACAGTGGCCAACTTTTAGTCAGCTTAGATTTCGAATACAAGCGGACGGAACAAACTGGGATACATTTCGTGTGTCGCTGTTGCCAGATTCTTTTACAACCATGTAAAAGATTTACATCTGCAGATTTTATCTCAGCAAGTGAGGCGTGGCTAACCAGATGCTTACCTGCAGAAGCGCCCGCACTGCAAAAACACAAAACCTCACCGAGTGATTTGGTCTGGTTTCTGGTGAAAATCTCTTGGTACGCTTTAAGTACGACAAAACCAACTTACAAGTAACTTTTCAGCACTCTATAGTAGCTTGTTTTAAGTAAGTAATTTCTTAAAAGTGCTAGTTATAAGTGAAATAATCAGCCAGTGGAACAAGACATTTTAACTAATATGGAGAAAATGTCTTATTTTACCTTTTAGTCAGTATTAAGGACTTATTTGCTTAAAACAAGCTCCTATTTCTTGCTAAAAATTTACCTGTAAGTTAGTTTTATTTCATGCGTACCAAAAGATTCACGTTAGAAACTAGACCATAGCTACTTGTTAACATGTTGTGTTAGACAGACAGACGTTCCCATTTCAACCGTTTCTGTGACTCATCCGACCATCGTCCGTCCCTCCCACGCTCACATCTTGACACGACGAAGGGGGGTGGGGGCTGTAATTTGGATACAAAGGTCACATTTACCTATCGCGCTGAAAAAAAAAAAGGCGCACTCTCACAGTCAGGCCTGTAGCAAATTAAAACAGGCCCATCGGCGATAAAACGGCGGGGAAGCATTCCTGCACACATAACTCTGTCTGGACATTAGAGTTAATGCTGAAATGACCCGTTTAAGGAAAACACAATAGGATGCATTTGGGTCACCATCTTCACCGCTGCACTGCAAAAAACACAAAATATCACCAAGTATTTCTAGAGCAAATATCTTAGTACAGTTGAATTGAGACAAAAACTAACAAGTAACTTTTTTTTTAGGAGGATAGATTGTTTTGAGTCAATAATTCAATTATAAAATTGGAAAAAGTCTTGCTGCAGATGAAATAATCTGCCAGTGAAACTAGCACTTTCTCGTCAATATTGAAAACAAGCTCCTGTGTCTTAATGAAAATTTACTTGTACGTCGTTTTGTCTTAATTCAAGTGCACTAAGATATTTGCACTAGAAACTAGACAAACACTTGCTGTGTTTTTGCAGTGTGGGTCATTATGATATGCAGCAGGAGCTTTATGGGGCATTATAAATGTAGGACAGCTGCAGACTTTTTAAGATCACAAGCTCTTAAATCACCACAGCTCCGATGCAGGTTTGCTGGAAATCATATAACGCGGTGAATGAATGACAGCAGAGTCGTAGCAGGTGGCTCAGGGTTTAAAACAACAGAGACTTTAATTCAAAGTTCCTCCCATCAAACAAATGGTTAACTACGCAGTTACACATGCGGCTCTGGCACAGAGAGATAAAAGAAATCAGATGGCCTCTCGCTCCGTTTACAGCAGGAATTAAGCGAGCCGACGGGGTCGGGTCGACTAACTGAAGCCTCCCTGTTTGCTCGCCAGTTTTCCAATCAGCTGCCAGAACTCGGAGAAGGTCAGCTCCCCGTCGTTGTTTTCGTCTATGGAGCTCATGAGCTGGTCGATGGAGGCAGGGTCGCTGGCGTTCTGCGGGCGATCACAGACGAGACGCAGATCAATACGGAGCAGAAACTGAGAAACTGAATTACTTTACGATACTCGGTTACACTTTAATGGGTGTCAATAAGTTGTTAGTCTGCTTCAGACCAACAACTTTTATTTCTTTTATAAGTTTGAAATGCACCATCTTTAAAAATTTTGAGGTTTCGAAAGATGGAAAACATCATCCTAGTTGTAAAGTCTGGCTCAGAGAACAGACTTTAAAATAATTCTGTTAGTTTATAGAAACTCAAGTCAAGTGTACTTTATTGTCAAAGATCCATGTAGCAGGGTTAACACAGAAGTTTGAAATTGCGTTTCACCAGCCTCCTATGTGCAATTAAATTAAACATATAAATAAGACATTGACAGTAACCCCCCAAAATTAGAACCAAAACATTTTAAAGATCTGCTGTTATATCACTCTGGTCTTCTGGTTCTGGTTCTGCTCTGCATCCCCAGAACCAAACATGAAGAAGCATCATTCAGCTTCTATGCACCGCAAATCTGGAACAAATTTCCAGAAAACTGCAAAACAGCTGAAACACAGAGTGCCTTTAGATCCAGAATAAAAAGACACATGCTTCATAAAGCTAGAATATTGATCAATATATTTTATATGTATTGATCATCTTTAACGATGGCATTTGTCGTGATCATTTGTGATGTAAAGCACTTTGAATTCGCTTGTTGCTGAAACGTGCGATACATGCTAATAAAAACAACATTTTTGCTTGGAATTTCAGAGACATGTTGTCAGTAGTTCATAGAAAAAAAAGAACAATGTTCACTTTACTCAAACCTCTGAAAAGTAAAATCAGAGAAACTAATAATTTTAAGTGGTCTCTCTCTCTTTTTTTCCTCAGAGCTGCATTCAGAGCCTTCAAAGGTGGATGATAAACATCAGCAGAGAGAGACAATAAAAGCAACTAAAGAGACAAACCTTGACGAAGTTGGGAAGCTGAGAGGTCACCAGTTTGTGAAACTCGTCTTTGCTCAGCGTGGAGGAGGATCCCTCATTCCCAGCGTACACCTTAAACTGGGAGACGATGGTGGTGATGGCGGCTTCCATGGTGGCTTGTGCTGCGAATAAAACCAGTAAAAACTAAGAATGCATTGTTATAAAAACCGGAATCAGCAGCTTTTGCGTTACCTTGACAAGTTTAGGCTGAGCAGCAGCAGAAAGGTGCTTTGGTCCTTTTTCCTCTTCATCTCTGTCCATCTCCTCTAAATATACGCGCTTCATCTTCATCGCTGGTGCACACATCAGCGGAAAACCCCTCATCGTCACTCCCCTCCTGCCCTCATCTCTGTCGGATTTCCATGGCATCAAACAAAAAAGAAAGAAAGGGAAAAAAAAAAAAAAAAAGAAACAGCAAACTGCCACGCTGACCTACAAAAGGTCACAGCGGATCCTGACGACTGGACAAAATGCCGCCTGGGTCCGTCTGCAGAGACAGCATCAGGCGAGTCCAATCAACTGGCTGAATCGTGCATTATAAGCAATAATTAGCTTACACAAAACATGACTCAAATAATGGTACCGAGGTCCAACACACCCTCTGTTGTCTCCAACCGAACACACTCAAAACAAAGACAGAAATGATGATTCTTTACGTGTTTGCAAAACCGAGCGACTAGCTAGCTGTTTTTCTTTTTTTCATGTGATAGTTGTTGGGATTTAAACTTTTTTTTTTTTTTTTTTAAATCAAAGCAAACGCCATTCCAGGGAGGGAGGAAGCGGCGAATCTGCGCCGAAGCGCCTCTAATCTGCCTGGTTGTGTTATGCAAAGAATGGCAGGCTCTGTCTGCGCTGTCGTAATGAACGACTTGTTCTCGTTCATCAGCATATCAGCTGGGTGACATCGGCGGAAGCCAACATGGATTGCATGCCTTTATTTGAGGCACAGGCCCGAGCCTGCGTGTAAACGCTTCAGCTGGGCATCACAGCTGAGATCACGGATGCCAGTCATGCCATCAGCTCCTGTTTCCAGCACGTAGCGACTCAGAGAGGCGGCGTGTGTCACACTGGGCTGGGCGGCTCCAGGGAATTGTAGCCAGTTACTGTATAAGCCTGTGCATAAGTTTATACGCTCCGATCATGCAGAATAAAAGTAGTTCAGTTTCTTTCCAGCTTGGAACAGAAAAAACGATTTAAGTGCTCCACTTTTGGACTGCTACTGTCCTGCATCTCTGCTCCAACACACCTGAATGGAAAGATTGAATTACCTCTTTGGCATGTCAGTAAGTTCTGCAAAAGCTGAGTAATTGGCCGACAATTTGACACAGGTGTGTTGGAGCAGGGATGCATCCAAACGCTGCAGGACAGTGGCGCTTGCAGACCCCTGATCTAGTTCTTTCCACTTGGTGGAAAGCTATTTAGGCTGTCAGTAAATCTTGTGATTGCCTGGAGCCGAAGGTTAGGACAATAATTTATTTAACACTCATCGGATCGGACAATCCTCAGAACAATGGGAATGTCTCAGGAAGTGTCCAGGTTATGGGAAAAGATTTTCGGATCCCTTTCTAATCTTTTAAAGAAACATTTTTAGGATGTCTTGAGCCTTCGTCGAAGACCAAACCGTCAACCTCTACCAGTAGGAAACTTGTTTGGATGTTCAGGAAGAAACAAGGAGTTACCAATGGACTGAGTGGACAACAAAAATAATCAGTCACTCTACCCTGGAGTTAACCCCCGTCAAACGGACCAAAATAAGCCCACAAAATTTCTGAAAACAAAAAGAAACTTCAACCAAAATGGTGAAAAATTTATTGAACTCAACATTTATTTCATAAAAAACAGGAGACAACTGATGATGAAAGAAATTATATTTGCCCAGGGGTCAAATGAAGTCACATCCATTGAGCCCTATCGTCGCCCCGCGGACGCAGGAACACTTTCAAATATCGATTAAACTCTCGCTTCGATCTGTGCTTCGAGGACTCCTTCAAACACCTTTGGTCAAGCAGGTCTTCAGAAATAAACCACCTCACAAGTAAACTCCCCAAACATTCACTCTCTGCCCTGCGAGCAGCAGGGCGACTTAAAAGTCGCCGAAACTCCTTCCTCTTCTAGCAGAAGCCAGCGAAATCGGAGAAACTCTGGTCCAATCCGAGTTCTTCATATTGTGGTAAAGGCACGTTAAGCAGCAGCTGGTACGCAACGTAAACGAAGGTCGCTTCAACATTCGGCGTGAACGGCCCGGGACCGAGTCCGTCGCTCCTCGGATTCATACAGACGACGGGGAGGAGACGGGAGCAGTAGTGACAGAATAAATAATCACGCCAGAGCTTCTCCTGAACAATCCCGATCCGACGGCTCCAACTTCACATCAACACCGGCGGAAGGAAAAGGAACAAACTGTGAACTTTTCAGGCTCGTCTTTGTGCTGATTTTCCTTTCACCTTCACCCGATGTGCGAAAATCAGATGCTTTCATGTCTTTTATAATCTAAACTCTGGAAACAACATCCAAATCATCTGCATGCAAGTCAAGTCAAACGTCTGAACAAAACGAGAGGAGGAAAATTACAGGTTTGGCTGCAGAACTAATTCTGCTGCATCAGCAGATGAGCTGAAGGAAGTTCTCCATGTTTACTAACCCCAGACTGGTCTGAGTGTCTTTATGCGTTACAGAAAGCAGTGGAGGGAAATGTGTCCGACATGCTTGAGGAAAAGTGCTAAAGTGGTTAAGAAGTCTCGACTCTTTTGCTATTGCTTTTTTTCCCCTCCAGGAGCAGAAATCGAGTCAACAGATCAGAGGCGAGTCAGATAAAAGAAAAATTAAAAAAATGCTGGAGGCTCATAACAGATCTCTCTCTCTTTCTCTTGTTTGCTTGGTGGAAAAAAAAAAGAAAAAAAAAAAGGATGCTGGCAAAGAAACCGGTCGGACCTGATCTGATAACGATCGCCGAACGCAGCAGGATCTCCTCTTCACTGGAGAACCAACTGGAAGAATGATTTACTGGGTAATACTAATCGACTTCATGTCGCTTCCTGTCTGGTCTGGGTTTAAATTCACATCACTGCAACATGCACCGATTAAAGCGAAAAAACAAACAAAAAAACGTCACACAGTTTACGGTTACTCTGAATCAGGAGCCATGACCGGGACAGAGGTAGGTAACAACTAAGCCCAAAATGACAAACACAGTCTAGCTTATAATTAGAGACTTTCAGGGACACAATTAGGAGTCCGTACCAAAAGCTACGACAACTACAGCTCAGAAGAGGAGGAGCAGGAAGGGAAATGTCCTACAAAACCACCACGAGAACTGTTCTTCTTGGGTTTTAATGCTTTTGAATCCTTCTAAGCCGTGGCGGCAAACTTCCACAGCGCCTCCCGCTCGAACTCCTCCATCTCCTCCTCGAGGGAGTCGCTGCCCTCCATGACGTCCACCATGTCTTCCAGGACGTCCGCCACATCCTCGGCGAAGTCCCCGAAGCGCACGCGGTCGTGGATGAAGACGCCGTCCTCGAAGAAGTCGGCGGTGACCTTGCGGAGCTCGTCCTTGCTCTCGCTGGGGGAGCCCTCCAGCTTGCTCAGGTAGCCCTCCAGCAGCTCCTCGAACTCGGCCAGCTCCACCGGGTACAGGCCCTCCTTGGAGGCGCAGTCCTCCAGCGAGGAGCAGCCCAGCTGGGGGCGGACGTTGCGGTGCAGCTTGAGCTCCTGGTCCCTCCAGAAGTCGTTGTGGTGGTGCTGATGGTGATGATGCGGCTGCCGGGGCTGATGGGAGTTTTCCCCCGGCCGGCTGTGCCACGGCTTCTCCTTCCTCCTCTCCTCCCGGTCCATCCTGCGCTCGCTCTTCCTCCTCTGCCACTCGTCCTGGTGTTTCCTCCAGGACTCTTTGTGAGAGTTTTCCTTTTCCTTCTTCTCTTCCTTGCTGTGCTTCCACTCCTTGTCCTTCTTCTCCTCTTTCTTCCAGTGGTCCCGCTCCTGTTTTTTCTCTTTCTTCCCTTTCCATTTTGGCCCGTGCGGCTTCGTCTTCTCCCAACTCTCCACATGTTTGGAAAGCTGCTCCTGGATCCCGTCTAGGTTCTCCCAAACTTGCTTCCCATCCCCTGCGTCCTTTTTCATCCCTCCCAGGCGTTTCTTGATGTCGTCCAACAGATCCTTCTGACAGTGGAGGTCTTCCTCCAGCTGTTCGTCCTGCTCCCTCTCTGGTCCGGCTGCCGTCTGGGAGCTCTGAGCGTCTTCGGCATCAGACTCAGAAGATGAAGCGGGAGCAGACGACGCCTTTCCTGCATCATATGAAGAGAAATGAGGATATTAAAGATTCAGAGACGGTGCGAGTGCTGAGGTATTGAAACTGTGAACAAAGCTTTAAAGCGGACTGAAAGTGCAAAATTCACTTTTTGCACTTTTGTTTGGGTCTCAACTTCTTGTAAAAAAAACAACAACAAAAAAAAAACCACCCAGCCGTTTTTTTGGAACCTAATAAATGAATCATTTAAAAAAACCTCCTGAATGTTGAGTCACACTGCACCGTTACCTGACAGCCCCAGCTCGTTACCTAGCAACCCAAGTGGAGCTCCACCATGTTGGGTCAGCTGGTTTTACCACTGTACTCCCTGTGCAATGGCTGCTGGAAGAGACATAAGTGTTTTGTTGTTTATTTACCATTCAGAAACCACTTGCTGCATTCTTGTTGGTTGTGCAGGAGCCCCTACTTCTTCTTTTCCAAGATGTACGGTTGTATAATTGCGGCTCTGTTTGCAGCCATTTTCACGTGGGAGTGTAAACGTCGAGTTGTGGAGGGAGCGTAGCTAGCAGTAGCTTATTTGCATTTAAATTAACAAAACAGCTGAAAGGAGCTCAAAATAGTCAGAACTGACCTAAAATCTCATTTTCTAAGAATGATTTTGTACTTGGACATATCCTAATCTGTTCAAGGAAGCATAACGGATCACCTTTAAAGGTAAAACAACACGTGAACCACCATGAGACATGGAGATGGCAGCATTATGCTGTGGGATTACTTTTCATTAGGGGTGAAATGATAAGATCCAAATCTCTGAAATCTGAAAGTTGAGGATGAGGAGGGATTTTATTTTTCAACCTCTCTGCAAAAACCCAAAGTCTTTTTTCTAGAGCGCAAATCTTGTAAATAATTCCTTTACATTGATGAGAAATCCAAAGTTAAGGAGATTATTTTACTTCTAACATAGGAAAATGTCTTCTTAGAACTGAAATAATCTTTCAGTGTCTTCACTACAGGAAAGGATGAATTAAATTGTACTATTTTTCTTTTCTTTTTTTTTTTTTACTGATATTAAAGATTTATTTACTTAAGTTGCTGTATCAAAATTACTTGTAAGTTAATTTCGTCTTAGTTGAAGTGAACTAAGATATTGGCACTTGCAACTGGATCAAAATTACTTGGTAATATNTTGGNTTTTTGCAGTTTTCACCCTAATTAACAGAACAATGAGTTTATCTGAGCAAAGTTAAACTTAGTAACCAAATATCAGGACAGTCATCACATTCTGAGAGATTAGGAGAACTTCTTCAAATAAAGAAGGGACGTCGGTCAAGTCTTCTCGATAAACTGCAAATAAAAACTGAATTTTATAATTAAATTGAGGTTCTTCAATAAAGTATTAGCTTGAGCGTGAAGAAGTTGTTTTTTTCAAGGTTTTTCCATTTAAAAAGGCTCATTCTTCCTTTCTTGCATCACAAAAGGCCAGCATTGTAACAGTAATGTGTTTATTTTTCCACGTAAACCAGATTTATGACGTCGCAGTCGTACCTGCGGACTGGTTGTATTTGTTCACTCGGTCCCGCAGACTCTCCAGCTCTCTGCTCAGCTGCAGCAGAGTCGCCAGCTCCTCCTTCAGATTTAACGTCTTCTCCTCCAGACCAGCTCTGTCCAGTTCGTCGTCGCTCTCGGCCATCGCCTGCATCTCCGAATTAAGTTGTTCTGTCCTAATCTGAGAGGCAGAAGGCAAAAATCGAGGCGGGTTGCAAATGAAATCCCAAAGCTTCAGCAATAAATAAAAGGTGGGATATCTGCGCTTTGAAGAGGCTTTGCCGTAAGGAAGGATGAAGGTCAAGAACTGAAACCAATAGGATTGCATGCCGACCTGAATTCGAGTCTCCAGATGAGTGATTTGCTCTCTCATTTCATCCAGCATTCCTTTCATTTTCTGTGGATCACTGTAAATACAGCCCTGAAGAGAAATTCAGGGGTGTGTGAATAGAATGCATGCTTTTAAAACATACTGCTCAAAAAAATAAAGGGAACATTTCACTTTAATTTTGTGTGTGGCTCCAAATCCAGGCCTCCATTGGTTAATAAATTTGATTTCCATTGGTGATTTTTGTGTGATTTTGTTGTCAGCACATTCAACTTTGTACAGAACAAAGTATTCAATGAGAATATTTCATTCATTCAGATCTAGGATGTGTTATTTGAGTGTTCCCTTTATTTTTTTGAGCAGTGTATGTTGTTTACCTATTTTTATTGAACAGGTTCAATACTGATGATTTGTTGAACAAAAATGGCTCAGATGGCTACTGGACATTGAATATTTTGGCCTACATTTTAGTAAAACATCTTAGTACACTTGAAATAAGACAAAACTAACTTACGAGCAAGAAGTTTTTAGTCAATAACTCCTTAATGTTGATATTTTAAAACAACATAACATGGAAAACATTCTTCTTACAAGCTAAATAATCTGCCAGTTGCACTTTTGCGTCAATATTAAGGATTTATTTACTTAAATCAAAGTCCTGTGTCTTGCTGAAAGTTACGTGTAAGTCAGTTTCATCTAATTTCAAGCAAACTAAGATATTTGCACTAAAAACTGGACCAAAAATATTTGGCAGGATTTCATGTTTTTTGCAGTTTGTGAGATTAAAAGGTAAAAGCTGACCTGCTTTTGGTCTTTGACTATGTCTCTGTCAGTCAAGTCAGGGCTGTCAATGTCACCTGCAAGACAAGAAGACACAAGATGTTTTTTATTAACAAGTATTTTCAACCGCAGCACACAGCCAGCTGAAAAGGAATCGTGTTTCTCACTCCATCGAACATAAACATTCCAGCACTTCTGCGCCGATATCGAACCACGCCCTCACGATTCCCCCTAAACGGCAACAAACGGCGTCACTCCGCGCTTCAGAAAGAGTGTCATTTGCTTTTTTCCTGCTGTCGCTGCAGGAACCGTCAGAGCAGATAAACCCCCCCGACAATCTGCAGAGCGCTGGCCGGCGAGGGCCGGAGCTTACGCTGCGCTCTCATCTTTGATGCTCGACCTAGCATTATCCAGGTCAGAGAGGAAGCCTGTTGACGTAGCGCAGCTTAGTCGACAGGATTCAAATACACGGACACCTGAGTGTTGCTGACGACGGCAAAGAAACATGTTTACGCGACTCAAATGCAGTCGTTCTCTAATAGATCATTCTGTATGACCGCAGGGTTCGTACAAACTCAGACTATTCCAGCTTCCAGTACCACACACTGAAGATGAAAACAATACAACTAAAAAAAAAAGTAGTGTCAATTATTAATGTAGTATTCTATGTTTCACAGCAGGGACAAGGTTACCTAAAATAAATAAAAATTCTATGTTCAGAAATGTCTCTCTCACACAGAGACATCCTACACACCTGACTGGTCCGAGAACAAAACACTAGTTTGACATAAAAATGATTGTTTATAAAATACAAAACAACCTTTTGTATAAATTACATCGATCAGTAACTTATGGAGCCATTAGGAATAATAAATATTAATTATACTGAAACAATCCAAACAAATCATGGGTAAATGATCCTCCTGCTCAAATTAATCGAAAACAAAATGTAAAAAGAAAGCTAAAAAAAAAAAAAAAATCTCTGAGGAATATTCTCACTACGTTTTCTGGCTTTAAGCAAATAGAAATAGTTTTGCTCATTCTAACTGACATTTTTATCTGATTTAACTTAAGACAGTGAGAAAAAAAATATTTAGAAAACTGTAAGTAACGCTTTCTAAATTTAGGCTTTTAATCAAATGTTAGATTGTACTTTAATACAAAACTGTGCAGTTTGAATATCAAGCACTTTCCAAACCTTGAAAACATCCAATTGAAATTCAAGGATTTGAAGCACACATAGGAACCCTGCAGCTGGTTAGAAATTGAACCCGTTCGTCGTGCTGCGAGTTGGTTCCAGAGGGAAGGATGTGGTGCGGATTCAGAGGGCTTGGAAACATTAACGTTAAATGTAGAATTAAATTGTTGTGATCTTTGATTCTTTGATTCTGACTCTCAGGTAGAAATAAATTAAAAACAAAGATAATTAGGAGGCAAAGATTAAATCAACTTGCCGTTCTTTGACTCAACATGTTTCTTGTAGTCAGTTTTACTTGTATGTTTGTTTTTAATTTTTGGTTAGCTGTGCACGTCTCTAAACTGACAATTTTTTTTGCTGCTAAAAGCTTGAAAAAGCAGAACCTCCTGGGATTTAGCAGCGCAGAAGAGGAACTCACCTGACAGAAACAGGGAACCTAAGAAGAGCAGGACCAAAGCAGCCACAACGCATTTGTTAATGGAGAACCACGGCTTGTCCTCTTGTCTCTCTGCCATCTTGAACTCGACCTCCTCTTCGTCGTCCTCCTCATCGGAGGTTCTTGGTCTTGGCGCTTCAAAGGAGGGAACATTCCTCCTCCTCAGTCCATCATCAAAGCCGTTCACTTCACCCGTCTCTATGCTGCTGGACTGATCTGAAAAAAACCAAAAAAAAAACCCAAAAAGAAACGGAAGATGAAAACAGCAGAGTCTTTGTGCCAACGAGCCTCAAACCCAACCGCAAATACTCAGCTGTCCCGCCATACCACTTCTATTAATCATTCCTGCATCTCTGGAGGCTAAACTGTCGAGTGTTGAACCCGTTTCCAAAACGACAATCGTCCACTGGCAGCCTGCCCAACATACAGAAAATGGCAGGCAAAACAAAGGGAATTTTGCAAACACCATGTGAGGAACGCCAGTGACAAAGGCAGACTGCTGCATGTGGAAATGGGTGACATTTTTTCCCCCCCCTCTAAATTACAACAGCAGCAATTTCATGCTTGAGGGTTTATGCATTTTCTCAACGGGGTGTGGGACTCGCCGTCAGACCAGTAAATCATATTCCAGATGCGAACACGAATGTGGTCCCAAATCATCTCAGAGTTCACCTCTTCGTCTTCTTATTTGATTTAACTGCAAAGAACGAAGCTCTGCTGCATCATGAACAGAAATGAGACGCCTTCCTGATGCAGCAGAAGCTTCATAAATTAATGAATAATCTGTGTTAATGTGAGATTATCAAAAACATTTTTAATCGTCACCAAAGGGGCAAATAAAAACAACCTTCAAACAATAACTTTGCTTAAACATGATTTTATCAATCAAATCAAAGCGATTTTTATCAGCATGTAGGATTGTCATGTTAGAAAATAGGGTTGAAGTTATAGCGATAAACGACGATATTGTTAATTTAATATAATGGTAATGGGATAATAATGTAAGGACGCATGCTTAAAGATCAATAAACTGCATTTAGCTCAGAAACTGGCATTTTAAATACTCAGAATAAATAAAACAACAGAAAAAAATAATTATGAAGTCGCTGTGAACAAAATTGTACTTCCAAAAAAAGGTTTAGTTGAGACCAAAACACTAGACTGAAGACTGAAGAAGGTTTTTGGTAGAAAGAGAGAAAAAAAACCCAGAAAAATTATAAATCAGGAAATGGAAATTATTGAGCTTGATTTAATTTAATATTGCGATTAATTGTCACAGGCCTCTCTGTCAGCTGCCAACTTACATTAATCTAAAATGATGTTCAGCGTTTTAAGAAGTACTTAAAGTACAGAGGCAGCTATTTATTGATATTTTAACAGATTGTGAATAGGTTTTATTGATAAAATCAGGCGCAGCTGAGTTTTTGAGGGCAAGGATAAAAATGAGTTCTCATTTAAGAAAACCTATTTTTATTTCAAAGTATCTAAACGAAGGCATTTCTTTAAAATAACAGATTTTAGCATTGATGATTTGTAGCTCAATTTTCTTCAGATATCAAAATTATGAGCTTATTAGCTTTTAGCCTTCAGGCGTTTTACGTTTTTTTGACTGTATTCATTTTTTCATGATTAAAAAAATGATTGGGAATGTATTTAGGAATAGTGATCGGAAACCAATGTACCTTCCTCTTCTTCCTCATCCATGTTCTGTGACTCGGATGGCATTTCTTCCTCTCTCTCAGCATCAGCCACGCCTTCCTCTGCCTCGGCAGAGCCGACCGTCTCCGGGTCAGGACTTCCTCTGGTCTTCGGTCGCTCTGGGACCGGACTGGGAGGCTCTGCAGCAAAGCTGACCTCAGCCTCGACGTGAGGCGGGGGCTCAGCGGCTGTAAGGGTCTCCGTGGGAACGGTGACCTCAGGTTCAGAGCTCCAGACGTCACTCCGGGCAACCGCACTCGCAGGCGTCGGTTCAGAATCAGCGGGCGTGTGGAGCGCAGCCTCGGCGGAGGCGTCCGTCGTGTGAGGGGGAGACACGGCGGGGTCCGCCAGCAGAACGTCAGCCGGGATGTCCAGCTGAGCGGCCAGATCCATGCTGCCGACCAAAGGCATGGCGCCTTGAGGCTCGTTGTCGCTGGGAGAGGTGGTCACGATGTCGTGGATGACCGGCGGCTGACTCTCCGTGTCGATGTACAAGGCCTCCAGAGGGCTGGATGGGGGAGGGCTCAGTCGGGACGGGCTGGAAGGGATCGGACCCTCGCCGGACTCTGGGGAAGTTTCCTGACACACCTGGACATGAGAGAAACTTATTATTCAGGATTTCACTTTTTTAGCTACCGAGCTCAACATATTTCATTGTTGCTGCAACTGATGATTATCTTAGTAGCTGATTAGTCCATTTGATTATTCTGACGATTAATCAGATTTAAAAAAAACAAAAAACTTTTCATCTACTTATCTTATTTTTACACAATATCAATGTACATAAAATGTTGCAAATAAGTTAATTTTTCAGCTGCGTTTTTGCAGTAACATTTATTTAATGAACGCTTGATCATTTGTAGCAAAGATGCATTTGCAGCTAAAAAAATAATACTACCTTCTATCCATCCATCCATTTTCTTTACACCCTTGTCCCTTCTAATCGTTGATAATTTTTTTGGGATTAATAAATGGATAGAAAAAGTGATTAATAGGAGATTTTTTTAGCAGAAATTTAACCAGGTGAAGCTAAAAATGCCACTAGAGGAGTTCTGCTTACAAACAAAGAATGTTTTTCCATCTTAAGTGCAAAATATAAATTCTTTGCACATTTTTTTTGGCTTAATTAATGCTCCAAGTGTGTTGTTCTTTCAGCAAACTGCTTTTTTTTAAAGTTCGTATGGTCCTGATAATGATGAATCAATTACTAAATCAGTTGACGATTATTTCAGTAATCGATTCATTCAATCGTTTCAGCCCTATAGTTCAGTATTTCCTGATGAAGACTTGTGCTCTTTAAAGGTTTGCTTCCTAATAATTTAAAAGGTCTGTAATTGCACGACTCTCGGCACCAACCTGATGGCCTTCTTCAGACAAGATGGTTTCTACTGGGAGCTCAGCTGGTTTCTCCTCTGCTGCAGCTCCTGAAACAAAGTTCACAGCATGTCGGAACAGAAACAGCAGCTCGTTTACACCCCAGGGTAGAGGTAGACTGGTCAGTACCTGCCACCTCCTCAGAGAGACTGGGGGCATCGCCCAGACTCTCTGTGCCGTCGTCTGCAGGCCCAACATTCTCAATGGCAGCTTCCTGTGGGGAGAGAAGAGCCAACAGGATCCGCGTTAAAACAGGTGGCAATGACAGGAAAACATACCCGTCAACTTAAACCACTAACAGACACGTCCTTTAAGGTGAAAACAACAAGTATATTTTAGAAAACAATAAAATAAAAAACAAGGGAGATGTTCACACTGTAGCCTGGAGTGACCCTATTCCTATTTTTTTTGTCAAATCTGATCTTTTTTTCTGTGGTTGTTTACGCTTCCAAATATAGGCGACTTGTATGTGATCACCAGTGTGACCTGACGCGACCTGAAAGTGTGAAGAATGCACAGTAGAGGGCGCAATACCGTCACACATCGAGAGCACCTGTACAGTGTTTTGTCCACCGCCACGAAAAAGACGTAGAAGAAGAGCTCAGCGTTTGCGGAAATAAACATGGATGCTAACGGTGGAGCTCAGCTTGCGATTTTAAAGTTGTTGTCCGATCGGAGCCAGTATATTAACAACTTAATCCTCATTATAGTCCGTCATGGTTGTTGTTTTTCGTCTAGCTTGCACGTGTCTGTCAGGACGCAGACTAGTGACGTTTGTTAAAATCCCGGTGGAGTTTAACCGATTAAATGGTTTATGTTTGTGATGGTAGGAAGCAAAGGACTCCCGAACAACTAGTAGGTGTGTAGTTGGTGCCTAATGTTTGTAATGTCTCCATTGCAAACATCATGTGCCGACTAATGTTTGTAATGGAGACATTACAAATATTTCTCCATTACATGTTTGGAGACAGCAAAACCTCGTTGCTGTGGTTTTCTTTATAAATAAATACAATTATTCCTGAAGGGATTTTGTTCCACATTGATAACAAAAACAAATTAAAAGGTTTAATTTGTCTAACTTTTCTTTTGTTCCAGCCTACATCTTGATTATTTCAACAAAGCGCCACAGTACGCAGGTATTGCAGCAGAAGGCTCCAAAGTTAAACAGGATAAATTGCATTTTAAGTTTTTCCCACTGGAGAAAATCCTAGAAAATGACAAATAAATAATACTTGCATGAAGACTAACATATTTCCTAAATTATTTTAAAAGAAAAAGCACAAACATTTCTGAAGTACATAAATTAGATTAAATTAAAAAGTTTATATTTTGCTTTTTTTTTGTTTTTACCATTTTTTATGAGATTTATTTAATATTTGACCACATTCTAGATGATATCTAAAGCTTCTATTTTATTTTTCTTCTGCAGACTGCATCAGAACGCAGCCAGGCAACAATCCCAGCATTTGGCTCCTTAAAGGAACGAAAACTTTGTGCCGTCTTTACACCTGAGGCAGACAAAACCAACAATGCAATTACATTCCTCTGCAGTAAAAGATAGTAGAGGAAGGAGTGGCTTTCATTCATACCGAGCCTTTTGTACGGCTGGTGACTCATTATTTGGTTTCCTGCAAACATCCGGCAGATTTTTAGGATTTTTAGACTCGGGGGTTACAAGTTTAGACAGGAAATGTTGCACTTAAACTTGCATTCACAAGCCAGGTTGACATCCACTTTATGGTATGCCTTGATAAGCATCTCCCTAAGAACAAGAGTTTAATTTCCCACATCGTTGGCATGCAAATGTTTCCTACTGAAGATATATGTAATTTACTGTTTGGCAAGTGACTGGAGAATGAGATGAGGATGCCTGCAGCAGATGTCCAGTGTAGCTATTAAATATTAAAGCAAGCAGGATTAAAACTCATCCTAAAATAAACTAAATTAAAATACTTTCTTACATTTTCAATAAACTCGGGGGGGATTCTTTATTATATTTTTTCTGGTTGAAGTGTTGGAGGTCAGAGCATTTTCTGTTATTGAAAACTCTCTGCATCAGGCATATTTAGCTTAGTTTATTTTTTTCTGACCAGTAAACTGGATGACAATAACAAATGAGAGGAATTTGCATCTTAAATGCTCTAGAGCAGCTGTGTTCAGTTTTCAGAAGTCTTGGGTCTTTGGTTGTCGAAAAAGGAGCGCCCTCTATGCTCTGATGAATTGACACCTGCCATCTCAAAACCATAGACGAACCGGATTGTTTGTTCACATGGGCTAGTTGAGTATGGTGAAACGCAGGTAGGCAAAGACTGGATATGATTTTTTTTTTTTTTATTATCTTATAATGCAGTTATTATTAAATTAGAGTTGGTTGTCATAGATTCAGTGAGAAAGCTAGAGCCAAAAAAGCTTAATATGAATTCTTTATTTTTACCCAAATAATTCTTTGTACCCGTTTTAAAAAATGCATAGAAACAAACATCTTCCTTATTGTTTATATGTTCACTCATTTGTTGACTCAAGTGGCTCAATAGGTTCTTAATCAGACATTATTAAGTTGTCTTTTATAAGCTACTTGTCAGTAGTTAGTGTTCTTTATTTTATGTTTGTGCGTAAAACTACGATTGGATCTCTTAAAAAAAAGCAGTTGCTATGGAAATGCTTTGGTTACGACTAAAATACAGGTAAGTCAAGGTAAAAGACATTTCCCTCTCCAACATCGCCCCCTGCTGGTTATTATGGTTTTGTCATTTCAGTTTTTTTTTAAATGTATATTGCCATACTAACATAATAATTTAATTTAAACAGCACCGTCTTTCCATGGACAGAATTGAAAATTCAAAGCTTTCATCCATTTTGGTTGATGCTTTAAAGTCAGATGAGGTAGAGCCAGTGGCTTGAAGCTTTCTTTTATTTGTCTTTCAACAATGAAAGTCACCCTGACTAAGGAAGCAAATATGTGAGCACTGTGCTGGGCAAACAAATGAATCCATTTATGAGAGATATTTAAGTTTGAAACCCTCCAAAAAAGAAAAAAAAGGTTAGGAGTTAAGCTTACAACATGTAGAAGTTGAAATAATCACAGGTCTCATTAAAAAGCTCCTTTCTGAAAACAACAACCACAAACTTACCAACAAACTTTAGCCTCAAAAAGGTCCTGACATTTCTCCATGAAATGAGGTTGGGTGAATATTATGCATGTGTACACTTTCTGATGTTATTCAAAATCTTTGCCTTTTTCTTGTGACCCAACTTTTACAAGTGATCAATTTTGCTTTAATTTTTCACCCTCCTCCCTTTCTACTGCCACCATATCTACTCTGTTACACCAAATAAGAGCATACAACCAGTTTTCCTCACTGTCTGAAATTAAACAACTTAAAGTGGTGTATTTTCAATGTCAGTGAGGACTACCGAATTAATTTTTAACCTCTAAATGCCAGAATAATGAGAGCAATACATTTTTATTACTTCAAAGATGAAAGTTTGCACACACCAAGACACCTTTAAATAATTTAAGAAAGCCACACCTGGGGGTGCTTTATAAAACTGGCAGGAGCAGCTTGGATACAATTTCAAGGCACCTAATAGTGCGACTTTTACATTCAGCTCAACAGTGAACATAGTGGTTTAGGCCAGGAACCAGGAAGACAAGGTCTGGATTGAAATGAAGAAATGAGCGAGAAAAGAAGCAGCATCTTGCTGAATCTCCATGACTTTGGAGACTGGAAGGATGAGTGGAGTTTTTGAAAAATGAAAATATCGGTCAGCAACAAACCTGCACATTCACCTGTTGTCCTGATCATCTAAAGTTTTGACCAAGATGTTTAACAACAGCGGAAAACCACGCATCTTACCAACATGCAACTCATCAATAATTTCTAAATTAAGTTTAGTTTTCTCTTCTTATAAAGCTAAGCTAAAGGATTTGGACTTCCTGTCACTGTATGGCTGCCAAAGTTTGGTTCTTACCTCAGGAGAGAGGAGGGTCCAGCTGTTGGTGGAGGAGCCAGTGCTGCCTGTGCTGTTGCTGCTGTCAGACATCGCCCTCTGCAGGCTCAGGTTGGCACAGCACCACACAGATTCACCTTTATAATATCCTGCACATGACGAAAGCAACAACGTGTCCTCAGTGGACATGTCCAAATGGCACTAATCTTTTCAAGCAAATTATCCTAACTCAACAAACTGGCTGTGATATTATTTTATAACAGTACTACTGCATATATCGTGCATGATTTTGAAGTAGGGGGAAAACAAATACAAAAAAGGCACAGTCTCCCACAATGCATGCAGTGTTTGAGGTGATTATGCAAACTGTTGTTTAAAAGGACACAATTGTGCAACCTAAGAAAGATTTAAGCAACAATACGGAGCTCAGGCGGGATAAAGAGCTGATTGTGCCTGATTCCAGTTATGTAATGGGATGGTGGCATCCATAATACACAGCTGCGCAGTAAAATTAAGAAGGGAAAAGCAAGCAAAACACCTGACTTAACATCCACAGACAAACAATTCATCCACATCCATTCAGCCAGACAGTGTGAGCGGCAGATAAATCACCAAAGATGGTGAAACCTCAGCTTGGAGCAGCTCATTGATCCAAAAACAGGCAAATAGAGACACATACTCACTAACCCGCAGGCTCAGGAGTGTAACGGCTCCGTTTAAATCACATTAGAGACACACTTTAGGGGCTGCGGTTGTTGTAGCAACCGATTTGAAGGTACACTCATGATGGTAAACAAAGGATGGTAGCCTGAACATTCCCACTCCCACTCTTCCGCGTTCCCACTCAGGCCCTGCAGCTAGCAGGAGCGTCGAGCACGCCAAACTACACCCGATAAAAGACGGTTTATTTACACAAACCTGTTTATACTCCAGTCGTTAGCTGATTTTTCCTCCAAAACCTCTTGCTTACTCTTAAAATCAACGCTCTTCTCCTGTGAACTTGGGAACTTTGGGAATTCCAAGCTGCGTCACGTCAACCAAAGAAACCTCTCAGCCAATGGGATTTCAGGATCTGCCAGGGAGCGCCCGCCCCCGGATGACAGCTGAACCACTCAGGCAGAAGCGTTGTGTCAGGAAAGGGACGTGATTGACGCACGCAGGTGAAAAAAGCGGCAGGTGATGGACGGGGCTTCTTCTCCTGGGTTTATAATAATACAGATTCATGTGTGACCCCGACCCCCAAGGATGCATCCGTGCACACATATTTATACACAGCAGGGAGAGGCTGGACGGACCAGCGGCTCACTGACACGTCTACACAGCTATATTTGACTGTGGGACTTACCAGAGTGGACACCCCCAACGATCCGGTTGCTGCAGAGTGGACACTGGTTTCATCATCTGATTCCTTATCCTCTATAATTAGTGTTTAGTGTTCAGACTGTGATAGGCACTTTTCTGCCTCCTACAACTCCGTAGATCTATATTAAAATGTGGAATATGGTAAAACTATACAGAGATCAGGGAAAAAAATAAAACAACTCTAGTCTTTCTTATTTAATTTAGTCCAGTCAAAAATATTCTGAGCACATTTAAAACTGCAGGTTTTGATTGAAGAGCTGCTAGAGAAGCAAAAGGCCATTTATGTTGGGGACATGAGAGACATGTGGAAGAATGAGATCTAGTCAGATAAAATCTAATTCTAGCTTTTTGTCTGATATGAAAAATGCTATATGTGATGAAAAACTAACACTGCAACTTGTCTTCAATTTGTCTCCCCCACCATGACATATGGTGGTGACTGAATCATTCAAATTCAAAATTCAATTCAAATTCAAAAATACTTTATCAATCCCAAAGGGAAGTAATAAATATTAAATGTTGTTGTAACTCATAAACTTAGATTCTTAGAGTTATTTAATATCGTGATGGCTGTGGGCAGGAAAGGTCTTCTGCAGCAGCCTGTACTGCACTGAATCCGAAGAAGCCTCTGACTGAAGATGCTCTGCCTTCCCAAGATAGCCTCGTAAAGAGGATGGTCAGGGTTGCCCATAATTTTCTTGATCCTTCCTATGAATGCTTTGCGAATGCTTCAAAGAGTTGGAAAAGCTGATGACGGAAAGATGGATCTTTCTGTACAACTGGATTAATCTAAATATATATTTATGTTGCTGCACAGAATCCTGGCCTACGCTCTTTCTGCATAGAGGTTGATCCATCTTAATTGCCATCAGGTATGTGGTTGTATGTCCTGCCTCTTGTTACTTTAAGATAGGCCATTTGGTAAAGAAAATAGACAAAATGGCAGATTTTACTTAAGGTTAAATGCAATTGCATGGCATTTTTCACAATTCACTTTTCAGATTTTTTATTTAAAAAGATAGTCTTAAATTTTCTACTTCGTGCCGGCCTATATCAATGAAATAAACTGCATGCATGGATTCTCCAAAGGTGTCCAAGCTTCCTCTCACTGTCCCAAAACAAAATATAGGGTTGCCACTGTAAGTGGTCAATAGGTGTGAAAGTTGGTCCTTGCCCCTGCAAATAGTAAACTGGTACAGGAATATTCATGATACGGCGTGTACATGTTTGTGCTTAAAACTACAGGTATCAGATTGAGACCTTATAGTCTCAAATGATCCGGATTTGTTTTCTGCACAGGAAGAAACCATTAAACAAAACACTCACTTTGGAAACCCCTTTATTTCTTGTAATCCACAAGAGTCTTATTTTCTTACTAATAATTAAAAATAGTAGTATAACCCAGGTTTGACATCCCACCAACCAGTGTCAAAGATGGAACAATTAGATTAATATTTTTAAGTAGTAGAGGAAAATATTAAATAAAGAAAAAACATGTTTTGTTAGTATTTACAGAAAACTGTGATCTATGTATTGTAGAAAATGTCTCCTGCTGTGACACTGATGGTAATCGATATGAAAACAAAAATTAAACCGTTTTAAATGTAAATTTTAAAACAAGACATTTGTACTTTTGCATAAAATAACTACTACACTAAATGCAAATAGAGCAGACTTTAAACTTCATTACGTGGTAAGCTTTAAGATTTTTTTTTTTTACCTCCAATTAAAGCCACAGACCAAATTGTACTGGCCAATTGGAAAGTCAGATAGAAACTACGTTATTTCCTCTAACAAAATGTGTTAGCCAATGAAATCTAGTTTCACCTTCGGAGCAGCCAATGAAAGGTAAGCTTGGTCTTCTGGTTGACCAATGAGGGGAAGCCAGGTCTTTTTGAACGGAGTAAAGCGGGCTTGAAAACAGTCGGGAGGGAAACAAAGAGAGAGCGAACATCCTGCTGTTATCGGATGTGAATAACTACATAACTTGATTATTTTTCGATCAGAGCAACTTTGCGCTTTCATACGGTAAGTGTAAAAGTTATTCCACTGTCGTTTATAACGGGTAAATAATGTCTTGTTGTTTACATGTCTCACCAGTTCATGCCTAACTTAAAGCCGTTAGCTTAGCTGCGCTTGCTTTACTAAAACTTGCTGCTAACACGCTACTTAGCCTAGTTTTACTTTGGACGCTAACTGACGGTTGAAACTTCTTTCCAGGCCTCCGCCATGTCTCACAAACAGATCTACTACTCTGACAAATATGACGATGACAAATACGAATACAGGTGGGCTTTATTCGTAGTTTTCAACTTTCATGATTGACATTTGTTGGCCTCATGTTGCGTAACTGTTGTATGACATACTATTGTAGCTGGCAACCCAACATGAACTGAACCAGTTTATTCTAACGTTGTATAATTCTGCAGACATGTAATGCTGCCCAAAGACATCGCAAAACGTGTACCCAAGACCCACTTGATGTCCGAGACCGAGTGGAGGAACCTGGGGGTCCAGCAGAGCCAGGGATGGGTGCATTACATGATCCATCAACCAGGTACGGGTGGTGTTGGCTGAAACATAAATTTACCTTTACACAGCTATATTACTGATTTTACCCTTGTTTGTTTCAGTTTCTTATTTATACAAGTGACTGTTAATGATATGTGTAAGTTCTAGCCTTGATGGTGACCATGTGATTAGATCCACTCTTTAAGATGACTACCAGGTTTTGAATATTAACATGCAGTTAGTTATCCATACTGCTTGATTAACCTGCTTTTTTTTTAAAAAAAAAAGAAAAAAAAAGAAGTGAAATCCACAAGTATGTCTCTCCTATGTTGGCTGGCTTATTAAACAATTACTTCACTATAAAACTATGAAGTGGTTGCTCCATAAGCTTTTTTTGTATGCATATTTAATCTCTTCTTAAATCAGGACTTAAGTTCTGAAATTAATAAAGATGAAACTTGAAGTCTAGCATACAGTTTTAATAATGGATCATACATTATCTTTGGTTTTGACTGATGTATGCAGTTTCTACTTTGAGAAACTGACACTTATGATTTGGAACTCTGAATAATGTGGTTGTTGTGGTGTGGAAAAAAGAAAAACCTCTGTAATGCAATTAAGTGATGGGTCTGTCAAAAAGGAATGTACCTTCAGACATTCAGTTTTCCCCCCCAATAGCTTACAAGACTATTGTAAGTGTTTGGGAGGTAAAAATAGCAAGAGAAACGGCGAAGCACGAAATGTGCACAGCAACAAAACGAAGCTGGGTTGGAGTGGAAGTGTTGACAATTGAGTGCACCGTGTCAAGAGCCACAGAGGTTTAAGCTTTTAATTATCTTGGTTATGTATGCTTGTACTAGTAGTATTGATGTTGGATTATCTACTTTTTTTTTGTTTGTTTTTACAAGAAATGCATCTGCAAGTTTTCTTAAACTTGTAGATGCAAAACTTTTCAGTTCTCAGTGAAATCCAATCTTGTTTCCTAAATGAACACGTGTTCCCATTTGCAGACTGGAAGATGAGCTTGTGGAGACACTTGAATAGATTAAATTCTTAATTTATTTATTTATTCATCCAAAAGTTTTTCTTTAGGAACAGGATGTAGTAAAATGTTATCACCTTAGTGAATAAAAAAAATGTATGCACAGTGAAAATGTAATTTTCTTTCAACGGCCTAAAACGGACCCCTGCCTTCAGGTTTTTTCCCCCTAAATCACCTCCCTGCTTCAAGGTTTCGAGATTTGCTTGTTCCCTCCACTAGGGCTGTAGTGATACAGTAATCTTACGATACGATACAGTACATGATATTCTGTCCACGATACGATATATATTGCGATATTCATCAGACGATACTTTTGCGATTTTCTGGAAGATTTTAGAGGGACAGAGTGATTTTGGTGATATTTTGTGACTGTTATAGAGTTGGATTGAATTAATTTAACGGAAAACTGATTAAAAGCACCAACTACACAATGCCTGGCTCTGGTTGGACCTGGACACAGACTTAAAGTCGACAGCTGGACAAAAAGAATCAAAGTGGAGAGAAAACATGTTTCTTTTAATTGAAACAGTACAAACTGTAGCTTACATGGATTTATAAAGTAAATAAAGTGCACCAAGCACCCTGCTCTGAATAGTTTGATACCTTTTTAACCTTGACACTTAACATCTGAAGGAATCACTCTAAGCCTGATGACCTAATCACTCTCCCGGCGAAGCAAGCAGTGAGTGAGCAAGATGACAGTTGGATGTTACGATACTTGCGGATGAATATCGATTTTTTTAGGAAAGAAAATATCGATATATATCGCGATATCGATATTATCCTACAGCCCTACCCTCCACCACAAGATATCTAATATTCTGAAACAAGATTCTCTGTTTTCAGAGTTTCATCTTTGTTTCATAGCGTCTGACACAAGCCTGGAGCTGGTTCTGTTTTTAAATACGTTTCTATATTGAAACCTGACTTGTTGTGGAGCAGGTTAGGGTTCCAGTAGCGGCTCCCTCTGTTACTCCTGCATAATAAAGTCTCTCTCATTGTCTCACCCATGTATGATCTTAATACTGGCTCTGCCCAAGTCCGGTCCTTGAGAGCTCCCATCCTGTAACTTTCAGATGCGTCCCTTCCCCAGCACACCTGGATTGACTGACTGGCTCGTTAGCAGGCCTTTGTAGAGCTGAATGTCTGATGGATCCAGGTGTGTTTAGAGTAGGAATCTGTTTGAAAATCGGATGATGTAGCTGTGGAGGACTGGACTTGACCACGATATTATCGGATCTGCAAAGGATGTTGATCCCCGACGTCTAAAGTTTTGACCTCAGCGGTTTTAAAGTATTGTTGTATTTGACATGTTTTGTTTTCTCCGTTTTTCACCCTCCAGAACCTCACATCTTGCTGTTCCGGCGCCCTCTGCCTAATCCAAAATCTTAAAGGTATTTTTCGGGTCCTGCAAAGCTCAGCCTTTACGTGCCTCCGATCAGAGTTCCCATCATGCTGTCAAACCGTTGGATCGAATCTCTGTGCTGACGATGCCGGACCTGGAGATGGACTATCATTTATGAACAATGGATGTGGAGTGAACGTGTTGGAGAGGAAAAAAATAAAAAAAAGGATTGGCCTTTATGTAAGAAAAGGAATCTCCAACAACACGTCGTCCGACGCATTCAAACCCTTTTTGACTTTTTAAAACGGCTTCAGCGTCTGCTTGGATCTGCAGTTTAGTAGAGCGATTGCTATAGTGTGGTGAGCGAAGCACATGATCGTGACTAGATTAGTTTGACTCGAGCTGACCTGTAGCTGCTTGGTTGTGTGAGACTGTAAATTGACATTTAACACATGATAATCTGCAACATTCCTGTTTTGAACTAATTAGATTTTTCTTTTTTTCATTCTGCTTTAGAGAATTTCACTTCACTTGGTCTGAATGTACCAACGAGCTGCTCAGTATTTATGAATTGTGTTGCCCTTCTAAAAAAAAAATTAAAACTTAAAATTTTTCTATGGGGTTTTTTTTTTTTTTTTTTTTTTTTTGGATTTGTCTAAAGTTGCAACATGAAAGATTCAACATGATAAACTTTCCAGGAAGCGGTGAAGCTGGTTGGTTAGTGCTGTCATCCTGTTTTACTTAATTTACAAAACCATCATAAGATGTAAATATTGATTTGAGGTAGGACTGCACAATATATCAGCATAATATTCATATTTCAAATGACTGCATTAATTGACTAATATTCCAAGAGTGTTATGAAGTTGGAAATAGCCTTGCTCCAAATGCTAACTGGAGCACAGATTAGTGAATCATTTTCTAATATGGTGCAGCCCTTTACAGATTTAAGATGAAGCAGGATTATAGGGTTTATAATTTGTTCCTGGGTGTTTAAACTGATTATATATGTTACACTTTGAGAAAAGTTTATAGACTAATTCAAAACTATTGTCTAGACCCGTCTTCAGTAATCATGACTGATCTGTTTATGAGGCCGTGACCTTAGAAAATCAAAGTCGTCTCCGCAGAATAACCAAATGTTATCGGCCTAAATTTACTCTTTACAGCAGCAGCCAGTTCGTATTTCTCAAGACTCTGAATCTAATGACAAACTACTGGAATAAAATGTAACTTTGTGTGTTTTACATGTACTTGTATCTCTTTTTTTTCTTCTAAGATGTATATTTTTATTTCTCAATGCTTTCCAGATATTTTATGTTTGTCCTTTTTACTTCACTTGGCATTGCGGTAAATTGTTATATTTTCCTAAGTTGGAGTGGTGTTTGTCACTGGCAGGATCTTTCTCTATGTTCCTTCACTTTTGTGTTTGCTTTGGATCTTGTTTACATTTTCATTTGATTTGCTTTTTTAAAATTCCCCCAGAATATGGAGTATATGTTTTTAAGGACAATTTCAAGCTTAAGAAAAAATGGCATAGGAACTTTTCAGCTGGTTATTAAAGCCACTAAGTGATGATGATGCATGAATCTTCAACTTTGAACTAAAAACCAAAGGTCATTCCAATAAAATGTTAAATTCAACTACAATTTTAACATTGTAAACTTTTAACCAATTTGCAGACTGTTACTGTACATCAGGTTTTGTGTTAAAGTTGGAATACATCAGATAAATGAAAACATGTTTTAATTTTATGAAAAGAAATAAATTTCACTTGTGCACAAGTAGATTTAGGTTTCCAGTAAGGCTACACAATATATTGTCTTTGCAATATCAGTCGCACCATATTCATATAACAAAGGGCTGTTAGGACATCAATAATTTTTGGTCATATTTTGGGAGTTTTGAAGTTGTATTTTTCATGATAATGTGATAGTATGTGAGCCTCATGACAGCAAAAGCTCACACTAGAAATAACCTTGCCAAAAATGTTAAAGGTCACATAGTAGGAATCAGAAATTAGAAAGAAAACAAGTGTATATATAATATGTTATTGTGAGATTTTGTAATATCTTGCAGTTCTTGTTTATGTTCAGTGCATCCAGAAAGTATTCACAGCACTTCACTTTTTTTCAAGGTTTATTTCACAGCATTGATTTCCAAGTTTGCTGTTTTTAATAAATTTGCAAAACACCTTTTTATTTTTGGGTCAATATTGTCATCATGGACTGTTTGTGTGGAGAATTTTGGGCAATTCAATTTACTTAGAGTAAATCTGTAACATGAAATGTTGAAAAAGTGAAGAGCTGTGAATACTTTCTTGATGCTCTGCAAATGCTGGCATTTTATTTTAACACTACAAATTTCATGCTGTTATTTAAACGATACTAAAATTTTGATATTTTGTCTTTAAACATTGAAGTTAAATAACTGTTTCGCAAATATACACCCACACTGAAACACTGCTTCAACTTCAAAACATTTAGATTAAATAAAAATGACAGCTTGAGAAAGTTAACTGGAAAAAATAAGTTATGTTAGTTTCTCATAAGGACAAATATATTCCCATTAAACAGTTTGCAGTAATTCTGGCTGATCTGAAATGTATTAATATAGAGTGTTAAGTTAATTGAAGTTTCCAAACGGTCATGTTGTTCAGTTCTGTTAGATGCTCAGGTCATTTTAAGCTTAAAAATTAGATCAAAATTTCCCACTTTTCAGAATTTCTCCCGTTTCTGCTGTATTTTTCACCTTGAACTGTAGGGGGCAGTGCAGCACAGCAGAAATGGAGAACATTTACATTGACTGGTCTGTTTTTGTTAGTTTTTTTATTTTTGCATACATTCTGCAATGAAATCAAACGTTAACCCTTTAAAAACTAAAAATAAAAAATGTAATACCTGTGGGTATTTAAAACGGCGTCATCGCTTTGAGTCCCAGTGTAAAGCTTTGAGATGTGGAGATAGCCTGTGGAGGACAGGATGTTGTGTTCCAGATGCTGGCAGGCTGGCAGTGGGTGCAAACAGCTCATGGCGACACTCACACATCGTGGGTAGTAACTACGCAACTCTACAAGTCACAGGGAATAGAAGAAAAATAATGTTTTGTGAATCACAGGAAGATTTGTGACAATTTCTGCAAAGTGTCCCCTGGGTAATGATTAGGCTGTGATGGTCAGCAACCTGAGCTGCTTCCTGTGATGCAGAGTAGACGGGAAAGAAAAGCAGGCTAGACAGGTATGAGGTGAAAAAAAACCCTGTCTCTCCTGGATTCCTATAGGTTACCGTAGTGTCGTATTTAAAATAAAAGCAGATTTCTTAAGTTTTGGGTTTGGTTCGCTCAGAATTGGATTTTCTAGATCCAGTTTGTAAAAAAGTAGTAAACGAGTAGTCGTTAGCTTCATCACACAGAAGGTGTCATTGGTAAGATATTTACTACTAATAACCATTCAAGAGAAACACATTTCCCAAAAATCTGAACTGACTTATTTTTGAAGTCAAACACCAGAAAACATGGTAGAAATACAGATGTAGTAAAATATTAATTATGTCCATGATCAGGTGTCGTCTGCTGTTATCTTCCAGCTTCAAAACAAAACCAGCAGCTCGTGTTTTTGGTGATAAATATACCAAAAGTAAAAGATTCCCAGGGCAGAGGACGACAAATGAATGATTCAACAGAGAAGTCACTATCAAAAGAAAGATTTAGTCGGATGTATAACTGTCACATTACCAGGGTTACTCCAGCTCTCAGAATTAACTTTTTCCTGGGACCCAGAGATGATGAGTGTTTGCTCATGACAACTTTAAATATAATTTCTGAAGTGTTTAATTACTTATGTTGTTGAGGAAGTTGTGTTAACACTTCTGCACCTTGTATAAGTCCATGCAACCTGACATTTCTGAATTTTGTCACAAGCTTCAACATCTTATTGTATTTTATGAGTCCACAGATCAGCACAAGGAAAATAATAGGTGATTTATGGCTCAATTTAAAAATCAAAAATTACTTTTAGGAGTTTACTTGAGTAAAAATACTATGAATTATCGCTATTTTTACTTGAGTAAAGGTTCTTGATACTCTACTTACTGTGAGTAAATTGATTAATGAAGAACAAACATGTTTTAATTAAAAATGAACCCAACAAAAACACAAAACTTCAGTTCATGTTGAAGTGAAACTTCTTTATCTTGCACAAACCTTTATTTATTTATTTGCTTATTCTTTTGTGCCATTTCAAGATCAAGTGAGTAAACTAAACCCTATATATCGCCACAGGAACTACTTTACCCTTTACTGTATCTATAATTTTTTTTTTCACTTTAGTCTTTAAAATGCCAGAATTTGCACATAACATCACATTTTTCACCATCTGAAGAAAATGTCAGTGACTCAGTTCTTGAATAGCTTTTATACACAATATGTGTTTACAGCCCTACATTTGCCATAGGCAAATGTAGGGCTGTAAAACAGACATGTTTTAATTTTATTTAATTGTTTATTTCATTAATTTATAGTTTGTCAAAGACAAGAATTCAAGGATTTTTTTTTATTGTCATGCCACATTTTCTTGTTTGTGGTATGAAATTCAGACCCAGGTACCAGATTAAGAAATTGAATACACAAAATAAAATAAAATCAATAAATCAATAACTTTATGTGATACATAGATATGTATATATATAAAACAGTGTATGTGTGTAAATCATTTATGAGATGAAGTTGAATTAGGTGCAGCTTGATTTCAGCAGGCTGACATAAATGTTGGCATAAGTAAAAGTTTTGAATGAAAACAAGTAACTTGAAGAAAAAAATCTTTTTTTACAATCTTATATTTTATTCTCTTAAGTAAAAATTTAACTACTCTCTTTAGACAGATTGTTCCATATACAGATAAACAAATTTTGTCTTGTGCATTTGTTCAGTCCTGCCATTTTTTCTAAATAGCAGATCCTCATACCTTTGCAGAGATGATCATGAATTATCTATTTTACATTAAACACAAATTGTGAACACGTTCAGAGGTACGACTAGTTCATCTAGGATCTGCATGTAAGGATTCAGGCCTAATCTGTAGAGACAATAAACTTGTTTCCAGCTCAACACATCAGAATCACAGCTTGGGTCTATTGGAGTGCCTGACATTGTACCTCCATTCAATAACATAAAACTTCCAAAAGAACTCCAGACTGCTATTAAGTTTGGCCAGGTGGATGAATAATTTAAACTAGAAAGGAAAGCAGTGAAAGAGAAGTGTGATGGATGACAAGGCAGTGTGAAGATGTGTTCAGTTAAGGAGGAGAGCGGAGAGCAGGAGGAAGAAGAAAGGAGGCGAGGCTCAAGGAGACAAAGCCAAGCTGGGCAGACGCTCCTCTTTAAAGTGAAAAAGTAGAGGAGTATGTGAATGAGAAAGTAATATAAGAGGGGCGAGGAAATGGAGACAAAGAAGGAGAGAATGGAGAGAGGGTAGATAAGGAAATGAAATGTGCTTCTTGAAGATGGCATATTTATTGGTGTTGTCAGCGCAGTGGGGCACCTCCTAAAACGAAGCCAAGTTTGCTGCAAAGTGCAGGAGGGGGAGGACGCCTGATGGAACTTTGAGCCATAAAATTG